ATCATTAATGCTGAGCTGATTGGTTGTGCGCACCCGTCGGACTCCGCCCTTCTGCCCAAGCCAACCTCCCGCCCACCTATCTGTCTATCGTATATGCCCTGAAAACATATCTCACTTCAGGTATTCCACCTCATCTTATCAATGCATTGTTCCTATAATATTGACCACTTGAAGCGTTCGCTTATTTATTTATTTTTTGAAGATTCCCACAATTTTTCCAGAACTTCACCTCAGCAGTGTTCAGATACTCACCTGACTACTTATCCGGTACAGTCCTGTCCCTTGATTTCATTTCTTATTTTACCGTCAAATCTATTCAATGATGGGGAAGATTTCATGCCACCAATATGGTTTACAAACAATTTTTTTTGAATTCCTTTAATTTTAAATCATTCCACAATTAAGTCCATTTTATGAACTAAAATCTTTCTGTCTCAAATTCCAAATAACTTGTAATTTATTCTATACCAACACATTGTGCAGTTTATAACATGTCGCACTATGTGTAATCTCGAAAACTAAGTAATAAAAATGCTATGACACGAAATTTGATAAAAAGCTTAAATCATACAGATACTCCACAAAGTTGAAGTAATCTGCCACTCAGTTATGCTTCTGTCGTTATAGTTCGTTGGGTTATTCTAGAACAGATTTGTAAAAATTAGTAAAATTTAGTATCTGTGCTAGGATTGATATAAAAACACTTCTCTGTATTTTGATACTCTTATTTCTGCAGCCTAAACTTCACTAATTCTACGAACTAGATTGCGATCATCGACTTTCGCCTTAGAGGATTTGCTTGGTAGTGGCTACTGTAGTTAACACCTTTTAACTTTTCTTGGGCAAGCTCCCTAGATTATTATATGTGTATTCCAGTCAAATTACTCTTCAAAGTCAAAACAACTGCCCTCCCGAATTTTATTTTATTTTCCCTTAAAAGAGTTGTAGTTACATGGGAAATTTTGTGAGGAAGTGATATTAACAGAAAAACATAGATGCATTTGTGGCCATGATGATATTTAGAAAAAAAATCAATTAATTCTAAGTATTTTTTTACTCAACCTATCTTTTCATTTGAGGAGCTTGTAATAGTGTTGTTCATATCATATGCTTATCAATACTGATTTTTGGTATACGATCTGAATATCATGATACTACAATACGCGCTTTACTTTGGCAGCCTACTTTGTATGTCCTAATTTTAATATATTTTTGCACTAAAGCTTGATATCATTTCTATATGGACTTCTACAGTAAACCACATTTTTGACAGTTCCATCTCAATTTCTAAAAACTTCAGAAAGTGTCCAAAGGTCACAAAAGTATTATTGTTTTGGAAACCAGCTTTTATTGACGATCTTCTGTCTGTTTGCACAAAATCAACTGCATGGTGAATTCGATAATCCAAGAGGCATCATTTTTCACATAAAATTATACAAAGAACTCTTGACAGTTATTTTTCGGGATTGAACCAAACAAGAGAATTTTCTAGATGTTTGCCTTCAAATTGCAATATTTCACACTCACTAATTTTTCTTTCGATATTTTGCATGATTTTTTTTGTTTTGTATCATTTTCCACTAAAAATATAGAAAAATAGATTTCCACTTTTGATTTTAGTTATATTAGAATAATTTAAATTTTACTCCGAAGAAGGATAGAATCCTCTCACTTTCCAAAAAATTCAAAATCCCATGTAGGAGACCAAATTATCCAAAATATCTTCTAGCCATCTGCAACAGCAGTTCTACTTGGTTTGATTATGCATCACTTTTGTGGTGCAAGAAGATTTGAATCAGTTGGTAAAATCTAAGATTTCAACTGTTTAATGACAAATGTCCATATGATAACTTTTTTATGTCCTTGATAAGTGAAATAATTACAGATAAAGTACTTATCACTTCTATCAAAAAATCATATACAGTGGACAAGGAATTGGTATTACCACAATGATTTTTACTCACTATTGAGCTTTGTTACTTACTTCGTATGTTAAATCTAATCATTTTAAAGATACTTAACAAGAAAAGGAAAAGATCCGTTTGACCGTTCCGGAGGGGTAGATGGTGTTGCTAGCTTCCAGATAATTTTAGTGATGAGGTCAGCAAAAAAAAGTATTTCAGAAACATAGAAACAACTTTTTCATGTTTTGCAAGAAGGTATCTGTAAATTTTTTGTAATATTTATTTTATTCTACCCAGCTCAATTTTTTGGTCTTCTCTTCAAATGTCGCAAGATTTGATATACCATATTTTTTATTCCAGGTGATAGACACAAATTTTATAGTTCAACGCGATAGTCTAATTCAATGATCACCATTGTTTTTAATACTATTTTTATCAAAAACAGTAACTAGAACTTCAGCCTCTTCCAAAATGTTTTGTTTCGAATTATAATTAAGAGTAATAACATATAAAACTGCAAAAGTTTTTTCACGATAAATCAGTTGGAGGAATTTAGTATAAACACATCAAAGAGTTGTGCACGTCACACACGTTGCATACGGTGCAATCAGTACTAAGTAATCTTGCTAGTTTAACTGCTTAAAGTGACATTCGATATGGACTACTCATCAAGTAATCACTTGCACTTATCAGTGGAAAATAATTAATGCATGCGCAAGGATAATGCTTGTGATAAAGTGTTACGTTTAACAAACAACCAATACATTCATTGCAATTAGATGTCTCGTTCAGGCAAATTATTGTAGCACTGCCAACGCTTCTATTCCTCTGTCTGGTAAACTAACAAGTCCCCACTTACCAATTGATTCTGCTGTGACTTGTTGTCGGGTTACAACAGAGAGATCATCTATATGTGGCAAAGGAAACAAGGAAATAGAATGTATGCTGATCGAATAATAACCTAAATTTTTACAGTTTCAATAGAAATAATGTTTTATTCATAACGACTAAAAGTTTCAAAAAATTTAAGAAGTATTTCCAACCAGAAATGGAAATGAATAGTTCGAAAAGTTTGAAGTGTATTTTATTATGATCGTGTCTTTCTCCTTGACTCATTTTCAATTTTTCTATCATTCAATGTAGTAGCAAAGTTGTTTTTATCAGTTTATATAAAATGAAACATATTTTACAAATGGTCAAAAAGAAGGTGTACATTTTGCTTACACTGGGAATGTAACTTCTAAATTAGATGATCAGCTGTTTGATTCAATTATGACTTTCATGGGTTTTTTTTCTCCCCCAGTGTTTCCGTTGTCAAGTGGACCACAACATTGTAAATATTATGTATTCAGCTACAAGCGGCAAAAGATCAGCTGTTTACATTGGCTTTTCAGCTCTATAGTGCTAAAAAGTTTGCAATTTTTTAAGTTATGTGAGTGCAAAAAAACATAATTGTCGATGTAAACTAAAACTGAAATCAAAAATGATAAAAAAAACAAATATTTCTTCAAAAGTAACATCGATTTCAATGATTTTTGAAAAACCTACATCTTGATTTATGATTTAGATGTTTGAGCTGTAACCGATTGAAAAGTATGTATGAGGAAAAGATGTTTATTGATGGTGAAATGGTTTTCAGATGTGGACGATAGGGGTTGAAGCTATTGATCTGAATGTTGACACATTCGGAAGGAGACATTTCAGATGATCGCATTTTGAGTGTTAGTAATGTTTGCCTGTTTAAAAGAATTTTGACTGGTGATGGAATTCGTCGCTAACCTCCCTTTTCATCCCCTTGTCTATCTCATCCTTTAATGAAACACCGTAATCTCATTTTTGAAGGTCTTCAAATATTTCCTTTTTCTTACCTCTTTCTTTTTCTTTACCAAACATGCAGATTTTCTGAAATACTATTTTTGAGGTTCTGAACTTACCACAGTAACAGAAATTCACATAGATTCATATAGTACCTTTCTTGTTAATTATTCATCATTTGTTCGTTGTTTAGCCTTGAACAATTGACCAACTACCTTAATAATTAAAGCATAGATAAAATTAATAATTTCTAATGATTTCTTCACATTTCATTCAGACATGAAATATATTGAAAACACTATCCGACTTGGGATTTACCTTCAAATCCATGGTATTGTTTAATGATAAATAATTTTTAATTGTTATAAACTTCACATTTAGGAACTAGAAAAACAAAGCTTCTATCAACCTTAATCCATAAAAATGGCAGGCGTGTGGGTCATTATTGTTAAAATGATGATAAATACTCAGAAATACTTAAAATTCTTTCTTCTGTACTTTTTAAGATATTATAAAATTTTCATGCATTTAAAAACATTACACGAAATAACCAATAATAATTTACCATGAACGGGAGACATGTGCAACATATTCGTGAATCGTTGCGTCTCCAATAAAAGTATAGAATTTCAGCTTTAATAAAATTTCGCAAAAAAATTAATAATTGAAATGGTGTATTGACGGCTGTAATTCTATTTTAGAAGAATGAGTTCAGTGTTTCGAGGGATCAGATTGGATCATATAGGTTAAATTTTATTGTTGTGTGGTCAGCTCT